ATTATTAGCACTTTTGTTCCTTTATTTCTTACCTACTGCTGCATCCTGCTACATTCCTTCGCGCGCGACGCCCCTCTCGCCGCGACGCGACCTAACGCACTACACCCTCTCACAAATATTGCACATACTTTTTCCTCTATCTCAATAGCGAATCAGCGTGCAGATTAGAGGTATGCACCATCACCATCCACTACTCAACGCCAACGCTCGGACAGCTTCTTGATTCTTCCTCCCAAAAAACGAGGCTGGGACTTGAAGAAGTCGTCGAGTGACTTCCTGACCTCACCTCATCCTCTGTTACGAGCTTGTGAAAATTGTGCGGCATTGTGACTTTTAAATGCAGGGTGGGTGAGTGCTTGCTAATGTGATGAAAGGGGAGACGAGCAGTAGGAACGGTTTTGTGTAATCGATCCGCCGCACACAGTTGTCGCGAATCATTTGCATCGTTATTACAGTTCCAGCGTTCTTCATACAGCTCAATCGCTCTGCGATTCTTACTTTTGGCATGATTCTACTATTAGTTCTAGTGTTCTTGTATTTCTTACCTGCTGCTGCATTCTGCTACATTCCTTCGCGCGCGGCGTCATTCGCCGCGACGCGACAATTTCGGTCCTACTGCACCACACCCCTGACAAAAGTGTATTATGCACGCTTCACGCATCACAGTTCTCCTCCTCTGGTTTTCCTCAATCTTATATCCTTCCTCACAATCCGAATCTCATACCACGGTACCTTCACCATAGTTGCATACGTACAGACTGACAGCAGCATCCTCCTTCAACTCCTTCCTTGCACCAAAGCGGCACTCACTGCTAATCCCAGTGAACGTCCTCGTCAATCTTACCTTTTCAGCTACCACATTCTAATAACGGGCCTAAGATGTCTGAAAAGGTCATTGAGGTGGCCAAGCTATGCGCCCGCACCGAAACTTGCGGGTTCGGGTCCAGCCAAGATCTCGCTGAAATTCTATGAGAAAGGAGAAAGAATCTTCAGTACTCAGAACATTTTCAAATAACATCCTTTAATTTTTCAATGTTTCAATGTGACTTTGGTCGAATTTTCAATATCGAGTGGTGTCGAATCCGAGGAATATTCGTTCTCAGGACCGTCTTCGCCTCCTTCACCCATTTTCATAGAGGCCAAATTCGATTCCCCAAGTTCACCGACAAACTCTGCTTTACGGAGCACACGAGCGTTTTGCTGAAACACATGAGCATCATGAGCATTCTCGTATAACTAATCGAAAGATTGATTATTGATTGATCGATAGAAATGAATTCACCTGCCAATCGAGCGGTTCATGCAGTGTTATGTCAAGTTTCTCAGCTGCCTGATCGATAAGGGAGTGTATAAGTTGGTACTGGGGACGTTCGAAGAAACTGAAATTCGACGAGTTATTGGAAACGAATCATAGGTTTTTGGAAGACAGCTTTAAGGGGTTTCCTCTCTGACTGAAGCCTAAGTTAGTTTTGGTGCCCGTTCCAAGGACGGGATTAAACCACCCCGGGAGGATGGAAGGCTAGGTTAGCCTAGGCAGACATCGATCCAGGATTCGAACCTGTGACCATGGGTGTGTAACAGGGCTCCATTTGCCACTACACACCTCCGTAGTTAGAATGATGAATTGACAGTTCCTGTCCAATAGCTTCAGTTCTACTCGAAGAGCTTACTTTTATATTTCATTTTTCATTTCATTTTATTTTCAGTCATTCATTTTGCACATCGTAGCGCTAATCATCATCGAGAAGTCTCACCCCATCTGGTCAATCATAGACAAGATAATATCGAACTCGTCTGGCATGCCGCACATAAATTCGGCCCGGCCTTCTGCTCGTATAGACAACTTTCTGGCCATGATTGTCTTATGCTCCTTATGACCGTCGATTTTCGACCACGGCAATGGTCCTAGAAAGAAGAAACTTGGCCATACCTCATTATGGGAAGAATCAGTCAGGCTAAAATCTTCTATTGAATTTATTTCTTTCCTATACGTCAGATAGAATTGTTTGACCTGGCTACCTTTTAGCAACTCAGCGGCCATGTAAAACCAACTCTCCAAATCGTCTTTAGGTGATTGATCTCGGTGACCATGGCTAGCCAAGGATGTGTACTGCAAAACACACTGTTCGTATTTTATCATTTACTCCTGATTACTATACTTGTTGCTATCAGCTACTAGCCCGAGGGCGGCATTGAAACTCATTGACCCACAGATTCTCTTTACTTTAGTACCAAGACTTCCAATTCAATAATTTAATGCTCAATCTGGAGTTTAATCTTCATCAATGGGTTGTATGAAGAAGAAGAACCACTGCACGGGAATGGACTAAATCCTGTAACCTTGTGACGTTCAGAACTCCATGAGCAGGGGGGAGCCTCGCATTCGACTTCCGTTTGGGTTTTTATTTATTTATAACTATTTGTATTGGGTTGTCGCAAAACTAATTGCGGACTAACAACGGGAATCCAAAATATCATAAATCTGCTCAAAGTAGATTTTATTCTCCAAAATAAACACCATTAGAATCAGCACATAATTGCCAACGTTTCGATTATAAATAGATGCCATCATGGTAAAAGCTTGGATTACGGGAGTCGATAAGTTGGAAAAAGGCTCTTCCAGCATCTCCCATATTTCGGTAAACATAGGGGTGCATTAGGGGTGTGGTGCGTTAGGAACGAATTGGTCGCGTGCGGTGAGAGGGGCGTCGTGCGCGAAGGAATGTAGCAGGATGCAGCAGCAGGTAAGAAATACAAGAACAAAAGTACTAATAGTAGAATTATGCATAAAATAATGATCGCATATCGATTGAGCTGTATGAAGAACGCTAGAGCTGTAATAACGGCGAATGAGTGGTCCGCGACAGCCGCGTGCGGCAAATCGATTACCCAAAATCGTTCCTAACGCCCGTCTCCCGTGCATTAGGGACCGGACGAAAAGTCACGTAGGCGCGATGAGGATTGTGAAATTATATGTGGGCGCTATGCGGAAGCAGTTACGAAATGGGGAATTCCCCTATACTGATTTTACTGATCCTCTAACAAATCTTAGGTGAGCAGTTGTGCACATGTGGTGCACGCGTTAGCGTACATAACATAGTGATCCTCAATTTCAGAACTCTTCATCTCTGTCACATTCAATCTCCCGAGGATCACTCTATCACTTGTCTGCTTCCTCTTAATACCTTCTTTTAATATTCAAACCTGAAAAGTTCCGAGGAGTGCTGCTGCTTCTCGTGGAGGATAGATCACGCCGTTGGCATCCCTTGAAATAGGAAATCACAACTGTGAGTGGTCCCATTAGCATTTGAGTGATGGTTCACGATATTTTAGAGAAATCTTCATCAGAAGAGAAATTATTTGCTGTGATCGTACTTGAACTTTCTAGCAAATCCAAAATCCAGCATGTATACAACTCCATTTTCCTGTCCGAGACCGATAGCAAAATTTGGAGCTTTGACGTCACTATAATGAAGACTATTCGGTGATTTTACATACCTAGGAAAGGTCTCTGAATCAAAATTAGGATGTTTGGACTAAAAGGTGAGACTGAGAACACATTCAGAGCTAGCGAATCAGCATCTCGGCGACGTCGTCGCCCAATCAATACGTATCTAGACCACAACCGAAATCAACAAGATAAGTTCTTGTTTTCAAGTCGTCTGCTGTGCGGGCTTTCTAAGTAGAGTCTGTTGATTAGGCTTTACCATTTCACTGTAGAACTGAATTTCGGTGTTTCTCGACTTAGTACTTTTCAGGGTGGAGCACTAAGAAAGCCCACTATACAGTCCTTTGGCTGTTACAATGAACTGTGGCCTTTGAAATCTTCATCATTCTTCTCTATGCCACTCTAACATCAAGATGTGGGGCGTATACACATCACTCTTGCTTTTCTTCGACATGAATGTATCCGATGCTTTTCTAGTTTAGGTTCTTATGAGTAGATCGATTTTGGATGCGAATAGGATCGTTTCAGTAATTCGAAGAGCCCTGTCGTCTATGCTACGGTTAACGTCGGGCGTAACTCTCGCTCCCGTGCCTATCTTTGCTCGACCACAGTCTGCCAAAAGTTGATATCGAAGGAAGGCAGGAAGTCTGCCAAGGCCAATTGGGGTACGACCTTCTCTAGCTAAGAATGCTCGTCTTGGAGTGAAGTCTGATGATCAGTGGGTAAGGTAAATGTATCTACTGCGTCAGTGTGTAATATGTATGTTTGCAGTATTCTATTCTTTTATGAATTTTTGCTTACTCCTGCGTTATATGTTATGGTTATCTTGTTCTGTGACGTTTGGCTCGGCCCTCTTCACAGTGTGACCCCTCATCACTCGACCTCAGTTTGTGTTTATCCTTAGTAGTAACTTTTCTTAGTGCGCCGCTATTTTGTAATGAATCAGTGCTCTCTACCTATGTGCATGTCCTAGAGATTAAGTTGAGTAGTGCACCCTTCATGAGACGGGAAAGTAGGTTATGTCGTGTTTCATGTGCGGACCCTACACCGGGCAGGATCTCAGTAACAGACCCTGACAGGGACTGCTGCGGCAAGACTGAAGCCTTCCCCAGCCAGGAGTCTCTTGGTCTTCGGTGGGCCGGTTCACCCATCCTGTAGAGGAGCAGTTGGGTGTACTTCTAAGGTGAGCCTTTAGGTCTTAGGGTTCGAATAACGAAGAGGATCGCATCCAAGGGTTGCCCAGTCCGTCACACGCTCGCTGATCCCGTTCCCTTTCTGTCCGGTGTGTAAGCAACCTCGTGCAGTAAACTCACCGACAAAGCCATCCTGCATCATGAAGCACTTCCAGCCTTCGCAATGTCTGTTGCAGTACACGTAAAGCTGTAGGGACTGAGAACCTGAGACGGAAAGAGTCAATTATCGGTCGCAACACGATGGCGATAGCAGAGATAGAAAATCTTCGATACCGCTTGGCGACAAGACTTCTTCTTAATTTTCCCAAGTCTGGTCCAACCAATTGCATTACGCAATATCTAGAAAAAAAGTTTCCCCATGAAATGATCCCAAACATCAGCTCGCTCCACTATGCATGTTGCTGTCCATAGATGTTTATTTTGATTCCAAAAACAAAAATAAAATACAATTATAACGGAAAAGGCTCCTTTTTTTAGGGATCTACTACGGAACTCATGAAGTTTTAGTGCATAAACGTCTCATGTTGGTGTCCATAGAAGTTTATTTTGATTCCAAAAACAAAAATAAAATACAATTATAACGGAAAAGGCTCCTTTTTTAAGGATCTACTAGGGAACTCATGAAGTTTTCGTGCATCAACGTCTCGCGGCCCTCGATATCCATACGGCTAGAAATGACCAAATCCCCGATTGTAAGAAGTGTTTAGGCTCTATTAGGGTAAGGATGGCATCAAAGAAATCAGAATATCGGTGAAAACTTTCTTAGCCACAGGATCTCCTGTTGCTCAAAAGCAGCTTTATGGTTTATGGTTTGAGCGTAAAGAAAGGATCATCTGAAAACCATTCCAAAACTATTTCTCACCTATATATCTTCGTTCGACCAGCTGCTATGAAAAGCGGAAATCCCACTGAACCTTTAACCGACATTAGTACCAATACGTCCAGTTTCAATACAGGCCTGTAAGCGACTTATATGAGAAACGGTTCATGGTCAAGGACGCCCCATCTACCTCTGATTTCCTTCTACTCGTTCACATTTCATCGCGTATTTCCTTTTCTTGTTGTCCGCATCGCACACCAGAAACACATCAGAGAAAGGACCTGTTGCAATATTTCGCATCACTTTCCATCGGCCAGACTTATGGGTTATGGTCGTGCCAACCTGGAAGTTTATGGTCAAACTCTCTAAATGATCATTATATTCGACAGTTCTTCAATTCGTTCTTCACTGGGACAAGATTTTAGTCGAGAAGAATCGCAATAGGATATCGTGCCGCTGTGGACTGACGTCATAGTTTGAGGGATAGGGACCCTAAGTGCTTAGTAACATCCTGAAAGGTGTCAGTGCTCGTCCAACATTCACACTGTCGTGAGTTGAGCTACGACCTCGATCAAACTTGTCCTTTCCTTTGACCAAGGCTGCAAGGAAGCAGCGATAAGTACAGATCATTTGCGAGTACTACTGCTCGGAATAAGCTTATCGAGAGCAAATGTCCTTGTTCACAGCTGCTTAGGACGTAACCGACTCAGGGGCTCTTGCTTTCTATGGCTTTTTGTCAGCCTCTGTCAATCGCTATCAATTCCTGCCACTAATCGTCTACGAAACCTTTACATACCGCATCACCTACCAAGGGGTGTGAAGGTGTCGTAGACGGTTAGTGGCAGGAATTATTAGCTATTGATAAGGCTTAAAAATTTCTACCAGTTGTTGCCACTTCCTACCAGCTACTACTATGTAGCTCTATCATCCTGCTTCCCTTCCGAGTTCGATCGCTCTATATTTGGAGGAAGGAGCCATCAAATTTTGGTAAAAGACACAAACATCGCAGCACATACACTTAGCGAACTATGTAAGGGAAAATTGGGACTGCTACGCAACGACTTCCCGCTACTGATGCTACTGACCATCTGGTTAATGAACTGAACCCTTGAATGATGCCTCCTAACGTTGTAGACTTGTGATGGATCACGTCTTACTTATACTTTTACTTACACTTAATCGTCTTCACTCATGTGCGAGCACCAGCAACAAACCATTCGCTTCTGTCGTTCGCAATCGCCATCCACAGTAGACTCAGGATTCGACAAGGATGGCGATGTGAGTAGTCGTTCAGCTGCTTTCGCAGCTGTTTCACGTGATCGACAAGCACATCCCCCCATTTCGCAGCAGTCTCACCCTTAGATCGTGCAGTTCCTACGGGAGCCAACTCGACTGTTCTTCTTGTCCATCTGTTATAATCTCTTCTCATTATATGACCTTCCCACCGAAATTTCGCGTTCTTCATGTATTCCACCGGATTGCGGAGTCGAGACATTCTGCGCATATCAGAGCTGCGGAGTCCGGCTCGATATTGAGTGAGCCGGGTGAACTCAAAAGACATTGCTC